GGGACACAGGTGGCCAAGGACACAGTCCACACAGGGGCGGAGCCCGGTCAAATTCACACCCGGATTGGGGTCCAGATTTCGGTCTTTCCTTGCTGTGCAAATCTGAGCAAGCCGCTAAGCCTCTCTGAGCCCAGTGTCCCCATCTGTACAACGGGAATCTAACAGTATCTGCCCGGCACGCTGACGCGGAGGGAACCCGATCGGTCCGCCACCCCGCACGTCGTGTGTCCCCAGCAAAGAGCCGCTGTTGTCACAGCCATTCACGGCGATGATGGTCGCACCCAGCACGAGACGCCAGTTGTGGTGGCCGGCAGATGCTATGGCCACGGGGTGCTTGCTGTGCAATCGCAGATGCTCAGCCTTTGCGGGGGCAGAGGGAGAGCTCCAGGGCGTGCGCCTCGTGTCCCCGCTCCCTGTCCGCACCTGGATGTGGAACGTCAGTGGTTTTGCAAAGGAAACCCCACGACTGCGGGTTGGGATCTGCCAGGATCTTTCCGTGCCTGCGCGCTGCTGGCTCGGGGCCCTTGCCCTCCGTGCCACCCTGAAGAGGCCCTTCTGGCGCCCTTAGGGCTCAGCCTCCAGCACCTCCTTCAGCACCGGGGGCCACGGTCCTGTCATGTGGCTCTTGGATCTCACCCAGCAGGTCGTCAGGGGAAGGGGGGCGGTGCTGATGGCTTCTGCCCCAGCTCACCGAGCTGCCTGGATCTGGGGCGCAGTTGTGTGCGCCTGTTCAGAGCGCGATGGATGGGCACACACAGCGGTTGGTGGTGGCTTTACCACCCCCCTCTCCTCGGGTGGGCAGCCTCGGCCTTGGGCTCCCTCGGGGAGCTCAGCCGCCTTGTCCCCGGCAGCTGAAGGGAAGGCCAGGCTGGGGTTGTAACCCTCATCACAGCTGCGGAGCCCTTTGCTCAAAGAAACCTTCTCCCGGAAACGCGACATGCAAGCCGGGCGAGAGCAGAGGGGGCCTGGCTGAGGCAGGGGTGAGGCTTGGGGCCCTGGCTGGCCCCAGGTCCTGGCCCGCTGGCTGAGGACCCTCCCCAGGCTCCTCCTTTTATAGATGAGGACACGGAGCCGGGTGTGGGGACAGAGCGCAGGACCCGAGGGCCCTCCCCCGACACGGCTGCACACAGACGGTCTGTCCCGCATCCGCCCAGCACCGGCAGGAGATTCTGGGATCCTAGGCCCGAGCAGTGCCCAAGTGTCTGAAGAAGCTCCCAGGAGACTGCAGATGCAGGCAGGACAGTGCACACACAGCCTGAGCCTCAGCTCCTCAGGTCTGCAGGCCGAGGAGGACCTCCTGGGGCTCATCACCAGGGCATCACAGGGCGGCCACCTTGGGCGACTCATCACAGGACCAGACAGGTGTCCTCAGGGAAGCACGGAATCCGAGCTTGGCTGTCTGGGGAGATGAGCTCCCGTCTGGTTTCTAGCCACGTGGCCACACCTCACCCAAAGGTCTTGGGGGCAGGGTAAGCTTGCCAATCCCCGCGTGGCAGACACCTCTGGCATCTGTGCCTGACCAGGTCCCTGCCACCTCTAACCAGGGTCCCGTCACCCCTGACCAGGTCCCCGACCAGGTCCCCGTCCTCCCTGACCAGGTCCCTGACCAGGTACACGCCACCCCGACCACGGTGCTCAGACCAGGCTCTGCTCGGCCCCCACGGCGGCTGCTGCTCCCCCTCCTGCTGGGAGGGCTATAAAATGAAACCAGGGAAGCTGACAGATTGCAAGCAGAGGGTTTCTGGATGCTTAATGCAAATCGCCGACTGTCTCAGAACATCCAATGTGCAGATCGCCTCCCGCCCGCTCTGGGGGAAGCCCTCCTCGGTGTGGGAGTCGTTAGTGCTGAATATCAAATGCTATCAGGACGGCTTTAACGTGTCACGCTCTGCTTCCGACCAGGTAATGAATCAGCGGGAAGGGAGGTTCCCCGGGGAAGGCGTGCTTTGAGAGAGGACGGTTAATAACCGCACGCTGACCCCTCCCCCTCCTGAACTCAGCAGCCGGGAACTGCGGCGAAAGTGCACTTGACAAATGGCAAGGCCACGACCTGGGTGGGGGCACCGAAGGAGGAAAGGGAATTCCCAGAAAATTGCCTCCTGGGGGCTCTGGTCCCAGCAGTCCCCTCTCACTGAGTCTCGGTGGAGGCACCCGGCTCCGCATTCGCAGGCCACAGTCGGCCACCTGGCCCAGAGGACAGGATGGAGGACGTCCGGAATGTTCCGGCCAGGCGGGGTCCCGGGGCCGCTCAGGTGGTGGAGGGGACCTGCTTGCCCAGGAAGGCTAGGCCCGGGAAGGTACCAGAGAGAGTGAGCGTGGCCAAGCTGGCTCCTCCATGAGCCGGCACAGGTCAGGAGCGGCCGGGGGCCCTGCCGGCCCCTGGAAGTGGGGGGCTCCTGTGGCTTCCCCAGCAGTCCTGCCCCTGCCCTGGGCCACACGTGCCGGGGCCCAACACAGGCTCTGGCTGGGCACCTGCAGCTGCCCTGCGTGAGGACTGGTCCCCGAGAGGCGGCTGGGCTGGGGTGGCTGTCGCAGGAACCCACAGGCCCACGCCAGCACGGACCTGGCCTGTGCCCAACACTTGTGCTAATTACCACCCATGGCTAGCCAGCGGCGCTCCGGCTAATATGAATAATCAAAATGAAATCAATGACAGCAGCGTGTGGCCGAGCTTTGGAGAGCATCTTCTCATGAACAATTTGCCCGAGAGGCGGCCAACCGCTGGGAGAGAGTAATTGAGATGTGGAGGCGGGGCCGGGGGGAGGGTGGGGTGACCTCACATGGGGCTGGCTGCTCCATCCCCGCCCAGGGGAGTGGTGGAAAGCTGTGGCTGGGGCAGACGGGCCCTGAGCCCAGGTCTAGCGCCGCTGTCACCCCTGCATGGACATGAGTTGGGACTCATGCGCCCCAACATTCTTAGGTAGGAGCCCTGACCCCACGGTGACTGTGTTTGGAGACAGGGCCTTTCAGAGATGAACAAGGTTAAATGAGGTCCTAAGGGTGGGTCCTAACCCAGCAGGACTCGTGCCCTGTCAGAAGAGGAAGAGGCACCAGGATTGTGCACACGCAGGGCAAGGCCCCGGGGAGGACACAGCGAGAAGGCGGCCGTCTGCAAGCCCGGAAATGGGGCCTCCCCGGAAACCTACCCAGCCGACCGACACCTTGATCCTGGACTTCCGCCTCCGGACTGAGAAAATTAATTCCTTTAAGCCGCAGAGCCTGTGGTATTCCACCCCCTGGCAGAGAGATTACATCTCTAATCTCTCAACCACCCCCTGAGGAAGAATTATCGTCGCATTTATTAATTTGAGAACCAAGACGCGGGAAGTTACGTGACTGACACGGCAGAGAAGGGGCGGGGAGGGGCTGCAGAGCCAGGCTCTTCCTGCTGCACCCCTTTCGGGACCCAGGAACGCCTGGATGGATGAGGGGGTGCAGCCCCATCCGGGGACGGAGATCCCTTTCACTCAAAGCTACACTCACGTCACTTCCTGGAGAGAGGGTGCCCAGTTTATGGGGGGGGGGGCGCGTTGCTGGTGATGGTGCAGGAACCCCAGTAACCTGGGGCTGGGCCAGGTGCTGACCCCCAGCCCGCCGCCCACCCTGCCGGGTCCTGCCCTCTCTGGCTACTGAGGATGCCACCATCTCAGAAGGGCCAGGCTCTGAACCCTGGCTCCTCCCTCCTGACCTTCCTTCCCGGGGCCAGGACAGCTGGACAGCTGGGCCAGAGCGTGGGCCCCTGAGCTGGCCAGGCCCCCCAGACCAGGGAGAGGACCCCGGCCGGGCCCCCAGGGTGCAGGGGAGAGGGTGGGACCTGCTGTGACCTGCCCCTGGAGGGTCTGGAGCCAGCAAGAGAGGGAGGGGGGCCTGGGCCAGGACCCAGGCTCAGGGCTGAACCTGGGCCTCTGGGTTCCGGAAGCCTGGCCACGCTCATAGCGGAGATGGAGCATTTATGGGGAATTTCTATGGAAGACAGAACCCAGAGGAAGACTCTTTCCAGAGGAGCTGGGGCTTTCGGGGAGCAGCGTTTGGGGGTTGTGGTGGGGAGGGGACTCACCTCGTCAGAGATGGGGACCCAGAGGCAGTTCCTCTTGGTTGTCCCCTGATGCGGCGACGCTAACCGGTGGTGGGACTTGACTGAAGGGCAGAGCGAACCCAGCTCAGCGCCTGAGCTCGCTGTGCGGGAGGAAGGGGCTGGGCCCCAGAAATGCCGAGCGCCTGTGTCAGGCTGGCCCCATGCGTAAGATGTAGGAAGACCTTTGATTCCGCTTGGCCTCGGTTTCCTCATCTGCCAAATGGGTGCGTGCCTCTCTGTGGTTCCCCTGACCATGTCACTGTTCGCTAAGGGACTTTAAAGACATACAGAGAAGTGGGACTGGGATTCAGTGGTGCCCATGGGAGATCTGAGGCCGCCAGGATTGGGGCTCCCAGGGAGAGACCCTTTCTGCTCTGAAACGTCAGGCTGGCAACACGTTGGGAAGAAACTGGACAGGGACAAGAACATACACGGCCCCACCCCAGAGCATTCACTCCTACCAGAGGACCGGGAGGGCTGGAGCCTGGGCCACGACATTTGGCCTCTGGGCACGGCAGGGTTCTGGGTGCTGTGTGAGCAGGTGGCAAGCGGCACGTTGGTGACAAACTCCCACCCAACAGGGCCCGTGGGTGCCCCTTCCTCCCGCCCCATCAGCCGGACGCAGCCAGTTCTCCTGCCATGCACTCAGCGCGCAGGAGAGGCCCATGGAGAGGGTGACCTTTTTAATTTGTATTTTGTTAATCCTCACATGAGGATATTTTCCGTTGATTTTTAGGGAGAGTGGAAGAGAGAGGGAAAGACAGAGAAACATGGATGTGAGAGAAGCACGTTGATTGGTTGCCTCCTGAACAAGCCCCGGCCAGGGTCCGGGCTGGGGAGGAGCCTGCCACAGAGGTCCGTGCCCTTGACCGGAATCGAACCCGGGACCCTTTGGTCCGCAGGCCGATGCTCTGTCCACTGAGCCAAACTGGCCAGGCGAAAAGGGCGCCCTTTCAGCATGCTGCCCAGACAGGTCACCTGGGAGACAGACAGGGCGCCATGGTCACGGCTGGACAACGGTGTAAACGGGGACGCTCCCCGGCGACCGGGGCGCGTGGTCACCCGATTTAGGGACCGTGAGACGGAGGCGGGAGGGAGGGGAGCGCGTGTGCCTTTCGATGCATGAATGAGCCCAATTGGATTCCTCCGGGTTGTTGACACGGGAAGGCTGTCTCCATGGCAACAAGGTCAGTGGGAAATGGCAGCGGCGTTGGTTTAATTTTCACTGTATTCTTGTTGACAGGAATAAAGGCCCTGCTTCTGATTTCTTGGTTCAACTGGATAACATTTTCATTAGATTTAACTTCTCATAGCCAGACACCCACATGCTATTCAATTTCCCCGTCTCGCCCTCAACTCTCATTCTCCGCGGGTCCTGAGGACGTTTTCAGAAATCTCATTTCCAGGGGCTCGGAGGCTGGCTGGGGACGGGCGGCATGTGCGCTCAGGGACGTGTGTGCCGGCTGCTGAAGGAGCTGGCGGTGCCTGGCTCTGGGTGTTTGGGGGCGCAGGGCATCAGGACCCCACTTCCTGTCTTCCGGCTGGAGGCACAGGCTTGCTCCAGTGATAGTGGTGCAGGAGAGGGCAGAGGGCAGGGGGCAGAGGCCTGAGACTCAGCACAGCCGGTCCTGTTCCAGGTGGGATGACCTCTGACCTCAGGGGGAGGGGCAGGAACAGGGCTCCCCCAGGAGGAGCCCTGACAGCTCTGACGTCAGGAGACCCCGGCCACTCGGCCTGGCGCTCCCTGTGCCTCTGCAGTGGTCGCTCAGACGAGTCCCAGGGGCTCGGTGACGGAGCGGCCTTGGCGGTGTTTCTCACCCGCGGCCCTGCCACTCCAAGGCTCTGGGAATCCCCGACCGGTCAGTGTCGCTGTCCTGGAGGCCACCATTCTTCACGCCGCAGTAAAAGGCGAACGTGCTGGCAGCTCTCCGCTTGTCAGTGATGTTAGAGGTACAGTTTGGCCAAGAGAGAGGAAGGCTCACCCCTGACCCAGGAGTCACGTGGGCCCTGGGACCATCTCAGCGGGGCTAACGGCAGTCCATCCTCCCCACGCAGGTCAGGGGAGAAAGGGCAGGAGTGACCGCCCCTCGGGCCCTGGCAGGAGGTGGGGTGTGTTGGCAGGGACCCAGCGGGATCCCAGACGGTTTCTATCTGCTTCTCGGGAGACCTTGGGCACAAAGAAAAAAAAAAAAGCAAAGAAAGAAAGGAGAGGGAAAGAAAAGGAAATTTTCTGTCCTGAGTCTACATACGTCATCTTTCATGGGCTCCTTTGGGGGGTTGAACTCCTCGTGGTAGGAACGGCCACTCAGGGGGTGAATCAGCCTGAAAGACAGCAAAGGAACACAAGTCAGGTGGCCCCAAAGTACCAGTCACAGGGAGCCAGGTGCCAATGAAGGGGGAGGGAGCTGCCCCTGGGCCCCTCACGGGCCCAGAACCTCCCATTTTCAGAGAGAAGCTGAAAGCCCGGAGGTTTCAATGTTGCAGCAGATTCTCACTTTAACGAAACCACTGGCAGGATGAGCAGGGCTGTGTGGCTCCGGGTCACGGTCAGGCACGTGCTGCTCCGGCACAGAGGCGCCCCTACCAAGCTCACTGCAGAGCTGGGACTTTTGTGACGGGAACAGGGGTGGGGGGTGGGAGGGGTGGCGCCCCAGCAGCTGGAGTGGCACTAGCCGGGAGCGACAGGAAATCAAAAGTATTTCTCTTTTCCTGCTACGTGGGGGACAATTCCACTAAATAAAATTTAGCCAGAGGGAAAAAGGCTCATTTGCAAAATAAGCCTGGGTCCTCCCTGCATAGGCGGAGAAAGGAGCAGCCCCACACTAAGAGGAGCCTTGCCCTGAGGCCCATGCCTGCTCTCCCGGGGACCACGCGGGGAGGCGCCCGAAAGGCATTCTGCTAGGACTGGGGGCTTGCGGGGACCCACCCGGCCTCTCCCTGAGCAGCAACTCTAACCGAGGGGACACCCGACGGGCAGGGAAGTCCCCCAGGCCCTCTCCCTGTCCTCACCCCAGCAGTGACTCCACCTCCTGCAGACATAGGCGGGGAGAGAACCTTCCGGGCCTCGTGGGCTCCATCCACTGGGCCCGGGCCTGGGCCCACCACAGGGACACAGGTGTGCTTCCTTTATGGCACCCCGGGGTGTTTCTCAGGACTTCACGGCCGTAAGTGTCCGTCCAGACCCCGTATGTGCCTGGCACTAACATCTCACTTTCAACCCAAGGAAAGTGGTAGGGTCGCAGGTCTTACCCCAGAGTCTATGGAGAGGCCTCACACGGCCCCCCACCGCCCCCCATTCTTCTGCATGTTGGAGATCCACACTGCTGCCCGCCCCGCCCGCGTCTGCTTCCTTCCCAGCCACGTGAGAACCAGCTGATGCGTAACGGCCTGTGGCCTGATCTCCACGGGGCTCCTGGGTGGCGTTTGGCTGCGCCTGCTACAGGCTGCGAGCTCTCAAAAAGCAAGAGAGTCTTGCTTGTTAAAAATGCAGGTGCCTGGGCCGCTCAGACCCGTGGGACAGGGCGTCTTGGAGGCAGGAGCCCACCTTTTCACCAACCTGCCCGCGTGTCTGTGACATGGACCTCTGCCCTGGCATGGAGCCAGCATCTGCCCAGGTTGTGCGGGCCGGGAGGACTGGGGCTGGCAGCTCTCCGCTTGTCAGTCTCCGGTGGCCCCCATCCCCTCTGGGACTTGCTGTGCTAACTGCCCCTCCATCGCCCACAGACTCTGGCTGAGACGTGGGAGCATGCCCTCTGTCAGGGGAACGCCAGCCCCTCCACCTTGCACCAGCCAGGCCAGGTGATGACTGAGGCGGAGAGGAAAGGAGGTGGGCTCCAGCCCCACCCCAAGCCCACAGCCCCAGAGGCGCAGAGCAGGTCTAAGACGCCTCCCACCACACCCCAGGCACCAGGTCCCAGGCAGGGCTGGGACAGTGCCCGTGTCTGCAGGCTCCAGAGCCTGGCTGGGGCTCTGGCTCCTCCAGAGGGTTCGCCTCTCTGAGCCGCTCTGCTGCTACTGGCCACCGGGTGGCGCTAATCGACCAGGAACGGGGTTTGGTGCAGGGTCGGGAAAGGGAAAGCCTTTGTTGATTTTACTTCTTGATATTTCTATAATCACCAGGATTACAATCTAAGCAAAAAAGCAAAACAAATAAACACTTCCCCTCTTGCTGCATCTTCGGTCTTTGTCTGGAAAAGGATGAGAGAACAACAGAGGCACTGACTATACAGCCCAGGGCATGGGTGTTGCAGCAGGGAGGGCCCGGGGGGCCCTGGAGACCAGGCTCTGGTGGCTTAACATGCGGGTGAGGAGCTCCTGGGAGAGGCAGGCGCCTGCTAATTAGCCTGCTCCTTTCTAGTCTCTGCCACCGGAGACATTCCTCAGCAGGTGGAGCTCCCCTCTCAGCACTGGCCTTGCCGGGCCCCGGGGGGCTTGTTGTGCTGGCCAGGCAGTTGCAGAGGCTGGGAATGTGCTCCCCGAGAGCACGTGGGGAGGGGCTGAGACCCTGGCTCCCCAAACACCAGCAGGCTGCAGGTGCTCCAGGACCACAGGTGACGGGTGACTCAGGATGGCTGGGAGCCCGGAGAGCACCC